AACACAGGATGGCAGACGAAGGGCAGTGTGCTATCTGACAAATTAAACGGGAAAAATGTTGTTCAGTTCAAAGTGGGCAACTTTTCAACAACAAGCCCAGAAATAAATGTAAACAAATCGTCTATAGAAAAACGGTTGAGGCAGAGTCAACTTTGTATAAAATAGAAGGGTTCAGTCTTGAAACTTGAGTAGTCACCGGAGGGGTGATGAGTCAGTCTGAGGAATAGGGAAACAAATAATTTACGTCACGTATTAACAATAACCTTGACGAAAAAAATAAGAAAATGGTTGTGCTGTCCGTTCTCCTACCCTCCGAAAAGGCTGAATTCGTTCGGAAACAAAGACGCATACTGATGATGATTGTAGATGTGGTAAGTCAGGAGGTCCAAAGTTGAGTTAATTGCAGCTGTTCACCTCTCCTTAAGTCTGAGGTGGACGCCCAAACATGCTGTAGAGAAAGATGGTCTTATTACTTCAATGTTATTCGGTGCATTCTGCGATTTCTTTTGGAGCGTTGACCCAGTCGTGCCTAGTCTGGTTGTTCTAGTCAGAACCGAGAACCAGTCAGTTTTCAGGTGAGATGAATCACTCGATAAGAGGTCGACTGTTTGGCGGTTACTTCAACTTTAATGGGCATGGTTCTAAGACGAACATGTCTAGAAAACTGTATAATCCACCAAACGCGTGTGTGTTACAGGCAATTCATCTCGACCAATAACTATCTTACTAGAATACAGTACAAAATCTCCGGAAGTATTTGCACTTGCTGTTTTCCGAAAAGCACTGTCGTGAACCTACATGGAGATTTCTTCCTGTAAAAGGACTTTGCGGCTGTTTCATCTTGACTGGGAATCAGTAGCAGGGCGTCAGTCGTCAAACTACAGCAGGGAGATTCGAACCTGGCCGGCAGCAGGAGGCTTTCCTGGCTAGGAAGAGTTAACCAATAGTTCAGAAATGTGATTCTATATAACCTTGAAACGATGCGCGCAATTTGTATTGCGGTGAACGTGAGCTTGAATTTCACCTGAACGATCGAGTCTCGATTATCATTTACACGTAGTCCATTTGAGGAGTATTTCTTACAGGTAAATTCTTGCTGATCTAGTTGCGTTGTGGAATAACAGCGTGCTTTCGGAAGTCTATTCTGATAATCTAAAAGGAAAATGCTAGGATCGCTCGATCTCACGCTCCGTCAGTGCCACGGACTACAACGGGAAGGCCAATCCACCTTTCTGTTGCCTTGCGCATGATTCCAACTGTAGGATGTCGAACAAAACCCACTTTGTCGAAGATTATGTTCCTCGTCTGATCTTCAAATTTATGAAAAAGTGCATCCAATTAGCTCAAAAAAGTACGTTGTGACGAATAACAGCTCACAGCAAACTAATTTCAAGAAGGAGAAAAGGCTGTAAAACCCAGGTTTCATACGGTGGGAGGAAGAAATAATTTCTCTCCCTAGCTTCCCTCCTCGAGAAAATTCTACCTCAATTAGGCCCAAATAAAGACAGAGCAATTTACAAAGACAAGCGATACCACAGGTTACATCACGATTTCGTCGACTGTAGCAAAAAGCGAGGACCTGTTTGATCCTCTATGAGAACGAGAAATTTCATTCCTCTCCCGGAGGGACTACTCGGACCAGATACCGTGGACTCTTATCGTTTGGGAGAACTGTGTATTAGAAAATTTGACCGCCATACAGGATGGCCTCAAAATTGTGACCTACTTCAAAAGTAACTTTAAATGAAAAAGTATGATTTGGTTTATCTGTGTAATGTACTACTCATAAGGTTGCTGAAAATCCGTCGAGAGCCCATGATCGGTTTCCCCCTTCCAGTTTGGGCTCATCATGTAGGCGCAGCCCCCAGGTTTCCGTCGAATCGAACCCAAATTGCACGGAATCAGCGAATATGCACTCATTTGCAAACTAATTTGGTTTTTTGAGAGAACCACCTGGAACCAACCTGAATCTTTCGTTTATGATGTTCTCAGGCAACTGAGTGTGCTGCACCAGGCTGCCCCATGTTTCAGTCGCTACGATATTTGAGATATCGCGATACATGTATATCTTGGTACAGTACTACTCATAAGATTGCTGTTGTATGTTCGCTGATTCCGTGCAATTTGTTTTCAAGTAGAACATAAGGTTGACGGAAACCCGGGGACTGCGCCTACCTGATGAGCCCCGAAAAGGGCGAACCGGTCGTGGGCTGTCGACGGATTTTCAGCAACCTTATGAGTAGCGCATTACGAATATACACGTATCGCGATATCTCGAATATCGTAGCGACTGAAACATGAGGCGGCCTGGTGCAGAACATTCAGTTGCCCGAGAACATCATAAACGATATATTCAGCTGGGTTCCAGGTGAGTCTCTCGCAAAACCAAATTAGTTTGCATATGATTTGGTTTACTTTTTTCCCTAAATTGACTTCTTCTGAATAATTCATTCCTTGCCAGGCGAGACATAAAATGGACACTGAGCGTACAGTTTGGTGACTGAGACAAACAAAGGATAAGCACAGTGGTGAAATTTTGAGTGGATGATCATTCTACTGTGTAATCATTACAAAAAATAGGTAGAGTTGTGAGTAGTGACTGCTGATGAAGGATTTTAGTACTCATTTGTTGGGTCCTGTTCAAAGAGGCCTCGAAATGCTCGCTCAGTGCACAGTTAAGAGGTAGATTGCTTGAAACCTTACCTTGCCATTATCCATGTATCTCCAAATAAAGCTGTAAAAGAAACGGCTGGAAAATATGCCCAGAAAGGATGGTCTGTGGAGCGCTGAAAAACCTACGCATGAGGTTAAGACAGTGCACCAAGTTCCGAATAGATATCTTAGATATCGGAGTGAAGTAGACTGACGTCACTTGATCAGGTCATTCTGCTGACAGAACGCTAGAATGGGAAACTGTGAACAAGAAGGGGATGAAAGCTACTAAATCAGTCATAAAAAAGAGGGGACGAACTGCTTTAGTCTCTCTAAGAACTGGAGAAATGGTATATGTACTTCCCATAAGATAGAGGTGCTCATCAGTATTCTTGCTGTCAGTATTGCTACCAGCATTGACACAGTCAAAGGTCATCTCCGGCTACCAGCACGTGTATTAACACACACGTGACACTATTCAACGTACAACCACTAACCCACCGCTACGCACAACTACACTCCCCAATAGCGCACTGATGATAATGATTGGTAATGAAACGTTTGCAATCAAATTGCCCAGCTCAGCAAACAAGCCAACGACCATCTACGCTACATGAGCTATCGAAATTCTCCGCTATCGACACAGTGTTTTTTTGACTGTCCTCAGTAGTGAATGCAAGTGGATATCCTTCGTGTAGCCTTTAGCTCTCCGAGCAAGCAGTTTCGCCACGTTTCAATCGGTAGTTAAAATCGTCCAGTGCTTTGAGTGCTTTGATGAGTGATTTCCTGATATCTGTCAGTAGTAAATAATTGTCTCTTCAAGGTCACAACTTGTCAGACGGAGATCTCACTCGACCATAGGGTATATAGAGCATGAGGTGAATTTCTGCACTGGACCACGCGTAGAACCAACACGATCAATAAATCTTCAAAACTGTCGGTCAGTGACGTTGTTTTTCTGAGTTTCAAAGCGCTAGCCGCTAGATGAAAGCACAGCGTTTGAGCCGTGACGATTAATTGCCACATGCCAAGATATAAATTACGATGTATTCCTTGTTCGATGTGGTAAGATGTAATCCCCTTGTAATAGACGAGTTTTATAGCTCCCACTCATGTGGAGAGCTTCCCTGATGGGGGGCTAGAGAAAACGGTTCCACAAGGGATAATTTATCTACTGTTGCTAATAGTTTACTGAGTTATCTTCATCCCTCATTGCAGACGCTTCCAATTCTCGGCGCAAGGGGACATTAAATTGGTTTTTTCTTTTGACCCAAGCTCTCTAAACAAGCCTTTACACTGAGTATGAAATAACCATAAGGACATATGACTTGGCAAGAATCCAGTGATCTGAGAAAAAACATGCGAAAGATCAGATAAATCCTTACAATGGGTCTGTGAATGGGATTGAGGTTTTGAAGTCTCCGCTGCGGTTTCATCCTACAACTGGACACGATCTACGCTACACCGAGCGAAGAACCACTCTACAGTTGATTTACCCTAGTTTGAATTTAGTGGCAGTGGGCAACCAGAAGAATCTTGGGGAGATTAACACACAAGACCCCCTGTTTACTGGCAAGAATTCGGCTGTAAGGAGCCTAACAGAAATGTGGTTGACCTTCGAGAAGTCATTAACCAGCACCACAATCCTTCATTCACACAGCTTACGTCACGTGACGTAAGTCCCTTGAGTGATGGATTCTTTATTTAAGGCCGGAAGGTGCTGTATTCAACTATGGTGCTGAAGGTACCAATATCGATTTATATAAATATATATATTCATCAGGTACACACTGCCGAATGAATTTCAAAACGGATGAAACAGAGACATAATGTTTATAGACCTTTTGACAAAAACTTATTTCACTTACAAGACGATTCCAGTAGTAAAAATAAATGCAAAATAATATTTTCGTGGTCTTTTCTATTCTTCTCTATGAATGGCGTATGATTAGTGAGTGATGCTCAGTATTGACTGTGGTCCAGTAAGCACCGCGAATTATGCAGTATTCCTAAAGCTGATATCCCCGGAATCTCTGCTAAAGTGATACACATCTGAACGAGGCTCATGAAAAAAAAGCAACCATTGAAACGGTCCTAGACACCAGAGAAACAATGTTCGTTGACGCTGGGTTTCCCCAGGGAAGAACAAACTCGAAGGATTCAGAGAAAAATGTAGCTTGGTCCAAAAAGGTAGTGAGATATACGTTGACTTTTTAGTGACAAAATGTTCACTTGTCGGGATACGAAAATTCAGGTGCGCATATTATGTGTTCTTGCAGTCCGTAGAGCACATTCACCCCAAATGTCATAGTATCGAAGATCAAATTCGCGCCTTCATTTTGAACCAACAGGGTTGGTCCACTCCGAGTGGAAGAATGTTCCAGATGAGTGTGACGTATCACATTAGTTGGGTAACCCATCAAACAGCATACTAATATGTCTTCAACGTTTGTAAGAAAATTTTCAACCTCGGCGAACACGACGAATCTCATTCAAGGTGATGCTGAATGGTGGATCAACACAAGCCTAAAAAAATCAACTCCGGACAACCCGTTCAGCTAGTTGTCCGCATCTTTTGTGAAATACATCAGTGATTGAAAAGGTCTCCTCATCTGGCCCTGTAAAAGTCGTTTGCTTCCATCCACAGGGTCCTTGTATCTCTCTTTCGAATTTCACTGAAGAGTTCACCGTAAATTCAGAAACCCCACATTGATTTGTTCCGTACACTATCAAAAGATTCCATGTTAAGATGTTCTATAACTTTCATAAAGGAAACTAGTCACAAGGTTGCTGAAAACACTTCGACAGCCCACGACCTTCTTGGGGCTGATCAGGTAGGCGCGGTTCCCGAGTTTCCCTCAACCCTATGTTCTAATTAAACCCAAAATGAGTGTATTTCTCGAGATTTTATTACTATTCTATTCTATTCTATTATATCACCGTGGCTAGTGGGATAGTTAAGTTTTCCTAGAATAGAAAACCTATCTGTTTTTTTCGTTTCTCAACTCCCGCGATTATTATGACATCAGTCTCGGAAAATGTCACGTGACCATGCCATCAGTTGATCCAACCCAGTTTTGGAAACGGAGCGACCGTCCTTTACTCTGATTATCATTTAAATATCTCTAAATCCCAGCTTCAAGCTGCCTTAGTAGTGATCCAGCCCGGATTAATGCTGCGCAAACCATGGGATGTAATTGGTTTTAGATACACAAAGAGCGACACAAAGAAAGACTGAGCGTCAGATTTCTCACCAATACTTTGCGGTTGTCTACGTTATAAATATGTGGCATACGAATCGGCATACAAGACCCGGATTGAGAACAAATCCCTTCGGAAACGCGGGCGTTGCCGTACTCACCACGAAAGTTTGCATGATGGTCTACAAAAGGGCGATTTCCCACATAGGATTAACTTTGGTTGATCTTCCCTCTACTCAAGCTCGAGACTTACAAAAAACTGATGATTTTTCGTGACCTCGGGAACAGTGAGAGAGTAGGTAGTCTCTGTCCAATCACAAACGGTATTTTGGTGACTCATTGGGCACATTATTGGCGCTCCACCAATGTTTGTAATTCACGCAAATGTGTCGTTCTAATCATACATTGATGCGCGGAAAATAACTCTGACGTTCGCTTGAACTGTGAATTTGGAACCAGCATTAGTTCCATCCTATTACCCTGATTATTTCAGCTTCTGGGCCTAGTAAATGCGGACATGTCTGCGAGTTTGACTCTCAGTAAAGACTTCTAATATCCGTACTGATGAAACGAAGAAATCCATTCAATGTGGAGCGACTTCCGACCAACGGGCTAAAGCGTTGGAAGCTTTTTGATATGAAAGTAACATTCTCAGGCGCTTCATTGAACTTTCCTGGACATTCTTCGAACGAGCACCGCAAATAGTTTTTATGATTTCGGTACCAAACTTCCATCGGATGGGGGAACGGCGCTTTGGCACTTAACCCAAAGCTGCTCAAATGTCATATCAGTAGTATATACCGTCACAAATGAAGTTACAAGCACTGTGACTTTTGGTGCTACCATATTCGGAGTGATACCAAAACCGTCAAAGTTTTATATAAATGTCCTACAAAAGGTTGTTTTTTGCCCCGTTTGAATCCTTATTACTGAAACTTTACAATGTCAGTCGCGTTCCTCGTCAAGGCATATTTTACATCTGGGGATTGGGTGATTTCATCGGAAAAGTCTGGTCCCAGGAGCATTCAGTCAAACAAATTTTTTGTGACCGTATTGGGACTTGCCAGTTGAGCATTAAGCAAACCACATGGTGCTTTGGACAACGGTTTTCTGGTGGTTTAAGTTAGCGCCACGCTTCCGCCGACCGATTAAAATATCTACCTCAGTCGAAGTTGGCTACGAGCATCCTGGCGTAACAAGTTGTGAGTTTGGCCAGAGCCATGCATCCACTCGTGAACCTACCTAGCTACCTACCTACTACATACCTACCTAGCTACCTAAACTAACTAACTAACTAACTAACTAACTAACTAACTAACTAACTAACTAACTAACTAACTAACTAACTAACTAACTAACTAACTAACTAACTAACTAACTAACTAACTAACTAACTAACTAACTAACTAACTAACTAACTAACTAACTAACTAACTAACTAACTAACTAACTAACTAACTAACTAACTAACTAACTAACTAACTAACTAACTAACTAACTAACTAACTAACTAACTAACTAACTAACTAACTAACTAACTAACTAACTAACTAACTAACTAACTAACTAACTAACTAACTAACTAACTAACTAACTAACTAACTAACTAACTAACTAACTAACTAACTAACTAACTAACTAACTAACTAACTAACTAACTAACTAACTAACTAACTAACTAACTAACTAACTAACTAACTAACTAACTAACTAACTAACTAACTAACTAACTAACTAACTAACTAACTAACTAACTAACTAACTAACTAACTAACTAACTAACTAACTAACTAACTAACTAACTAACTAACTAACTAACTAACTAACTAACTAACTAACTAACTAACTAACTAACTAACTAACTAACTAACTAACTAACTAACTAACTAACTAACTAACTAACTAACTAACTAACTAACTAACTAACTAACTAACTAACTAACTAACTAGCTAAATACCTAGCTAACTAACTAACTAACTAACTAACTAGCTAAATACCTAGCTAACTAACTAACTAACTAACTAACTAGCTAAATACCTAGCTAACTAACTAACTAACTAACTAACTAGCTAAATACCTAGCTAACTAACTAACTAACTAACTAACTAGCTAAATACCTAGCTAACTAACTAACTAACTAACTAACTAGCTAAATACCTAGCTAACTAACTAACTAACTAACTAACTAGCTAAATACCTAGCTAACTAACTAACTAACTAACTAACTAGCTAAATACCTAGCTAACTAACTAACTAACTAACTAACTAGCTAAATACCTAGCTAACTAACTAACTAACTAACTAACTAGCTAAATACCTAGCTAACTAACTAACTAACTAACTAACTAGCTAAATACCTAGCTAACTAACTAACTAACTAACTAACTAGCTAAATACCTAGCTAACTAACTAACTAACTAACTAACTAGCTAAATACCTAGCTAACTAACTAACTAACTAACTAACTAGCTAAATACCTAGCTAACTAACTAACTAACTAACTAACTAGCTAAATACCTAGCTAACTAACTAACTAACTAACTAACTAGCTAAATACCTAGCTAACTAACTAACTAACTAACTAACTAGCTAAATACCTAGCTAACTAACTAACTAACTAACTAACTAGCTAAATACCTAGCTAACTAACTAACTAACTAACTAACTAGCTAAATACCTAGCTAACTAACTAACTAACTAACTAACTAGCTAAATACCTAGCTAACTAACTAACTAACTAACTAACTAATTAATCTCTCTACCTATCTATATTACTCAACTTGTCCGGATTGTCTGATAGGAGTGTTTGCACCTATACGGAACCCCTCATCCACTCTGGATCGATCATCCCTACTGGCACGCATGGGGTAAAGGTGAACGAAGTTTACCTTCGCGTCACTCTCCTTCAGACAGTCCTTACTATTTAGTTGAGCGATTATTCTGATGAATCCTCACCAAAGGTAGAAAGCACTGGGAGCTCACCAGGAATGCATGTACTTGGGCATGACTGGAACTCGCCTGGTTGCTCTAATCGAGCAGCGCAAGCTGGGCTCGCATGAATCTACAGTACAATTCTTCACCTAGCCATTTTTCGGTACTTTCGGGCTGCTGACTGTGAGAATCATCAGTTTCTTCATTATTATCGACAAGTGACCAACCAATAGCTAATCAGATTTTCTGTTTCTAAAGTAATTTCATCCTGAACGTTGATCTAAAGCCCTGTAGAATGCTTTGATTAACTCTGAATATTCGCCGACAGACGATCAAAATGTACTCTAACGAGCACGATATGTCGTTTGCTTGCTTCACAGGCCTTCGCTTGTCTGAATCTAAGCACCATATCCGAGTTTCACAAACCCTGAGTCCAGACTGTCAAATTTGGGTTAATTAACCGGGATCATTCGCTACCTGGTTTATCACTGAAGTTATTCCGGTTCATCGTCTTTGGTCCTCTGTCTGCGCTAAGTCTTACAGTGAGGTTCAAACAAATTTCCCCACACTATCAATCATCTGTAGGAGGAACAAATTCACAAAATGAGTGAAACTCCTATCTGAGAAGTCGTCACCCGGGGAGCCAGTCAATAAGTGATCACGTGGTGTGGTCTCCGCTGCTGAAAGATCAGTGGCGCCATAGACTGTCTAAGTGAGAACTAATCACTCTGCTTTTCAGCCTGCTCTTGGCCAAACGGTTAAGTGATCAATATAATAACAAGGAGATGGTGGGTTCGAATCCCCATGATTATTCGTAGTTTGCGCGCTCTTGATTACTCCCAGTAAGGATGAAACAGCTGCACAGTACTCCTCGGCTTTTAGCATAGATGGTCTCCACAAGAGGGATGAAATCTTCATTTGAAATTCTCTAGTCTCCTCACACAAACCAAATGGTACAAAGTTGATTTTCTAAGCCTAAACATATGGATATAACGGACACGTGTGATAACAATTCACCTTACTTAGGAGGTTCGTTCATCATTTGGGTAGTCTTTGGCATTTTAGTTTATGTTCAAAGTTATCTAGTTAGAATGGTCCTTTGAAGAAGCTGCCCGTCTGGAGAGGCCACAGTAATAACCCTGGTCAGAGACAAGCGGATTTAATTAGAAATAGAGTTTAGCCTCCCATGAACATCAACTCAAGCGGCAAGTGAGCGTAACTTCCCATTTGCGCACGGTTTGTTGTCCAAGTGGAAAATAGGTTTGATGGAAACTCGAGGCATCTAGATCAATTAGCATTTAGTACACCCGAGCTAACAGCGAAAGGAAGAAGGCACCCGCTGTGGACTTATTTACTAGGAAATGCCAACTGAAAAGTTACAGACAGGGGAGCAAAACTCTCATATGCATCTTGTTTACAAAAATTAAATATCCATCCTCTCTTTGAACGCGCCTTCCTGAACTTTCCTGGATATTCAGTGACTGTTGCTCAAATGCAAGCAAATGTGACTCCACAAGTTCCGTAATAGATCTCACTTTTCAGGAGACGCAAAGTGGACTTACGAGAAGATATGCTACTCGCATGCTTCCCCCATCAGTAGTATCACCGCTACACCAGTATTCTAGCACATTATCAATCTTCATCCCTGTTGTAAGAGAAAAAGAGTGTGACAGAATCCTCTCTCCTTCCGTCTCAGGCTTGCGATAATCCCTGAAGCCTCTACCAAATGGATGCGGCATTTATCTGGAATTTGTCCAAGCTAGGAAGGATTGGCTCGAGACGTCTCCAGTTCGACGATGACTTTGCCGATCGGTTAAACTATCAATACACGGGTGTACTACTCTTCCTGTTCATTGGTTTGATTGGGGTGCGACAATATGTGGGTAGGTTCACTTAAGATGATTTTATACCTAGCGATCGCTGTGTCACTTGAACCGTTTCTACTTCTGCAATGAAGTTCGTAGTGTGACCTTGATCGCACTAGAGCTTGTTCCAATCGATTGATCACTTTTTTTAATAATGAATATCTTTCACCTCTATGGATCAGCTAGGTTGTCCGTCAGACGACCTCAGATGTGTTTTATGATTGTTAATGCGTTTACCTTTGCAAATGAAGAACGATTTTCAAAATACACTCACCTGGAAACCAGCTAAATTAATCTTTTATGGCGTTTCTGTTCCAAATGAGACTCTCGCAAAACCAGATTTGTTTGCAAATGAGTGTATTTCACTAACTTTGTGCGTTTTGGGTTCAAGTGGAACATAAAAGTGACGAAAAGTCGGAGACTCCTCCTATGTGATAAGCCCCAATAAGGACGAAACCGGTCGTGGGCTGTCGAAGAATTTTAGCAACCTTATGAGTAGTGTATCGCATCTAACCGCTCCTGCAGTTTTGTTGGATCAGCATGCAATTCGCTGCCAAATATTCAGCTCCGTCTTTCCATCACACATTCGAAATCAAGGTGTAGGTAACTGTACCGGTGAGAGGAAGAGCGCCCTCGCTGCGGAATTACTCATTAGAAAATGCCAACTGACCGGTTACAGACTACTGGACAGGGAAGCAAAACTCTCATATTCATCTTATTTACAAAAACTGAGCATCCATCTTCTCTTGAACGCGTCTTCCTGAACTCTCCTGGACTGTTGCTCAAATCCAGGCGAACGCTACAAAGCGACCCCACAAATTCCGCAATAGATCTCCCTTTTCAAGGGACGCAAAGCGAATTTACAAGAAGAAACCATGCTACTCGCATACCTCCCCCATCAGTAGTATCATCGTTACACCAGTATGGCCGCATTACCTTGATCATAGTTCTTTTCACGACCGAATGACCTCACAGTCTTTTTAATCTCCAGGCAAACCAATTCAGTGTTGGATTCCTCAAGAATTCACACGGGGCTGGGAAGAGTATGCAGAGAACTACTGCTGGGTCGCAAATACTTACTTCGCTCCTGTGCAAGATCGTCTTCCACCTGTACCGGACAGAAGAGAACTTCTACTCGTCTACTATCAGTGGGCACCAATCGTAATGGCCGCTCAGGCGTTGTTGTTCTACTTACCATGCCTGACCTGGAGGTTGAGTATGGCTCATTCCGGTTTCAACCTGCACCGAATTTTGAGTATGGCTGCTGACGCGAACGAGATGGTTCCAGAGACAGCGAATAAAACAGTGTGCGTACTAGCACACTATATTCGAAACTGTATTCAGCGTCACCGGGTGGATGAGTGAGTTTAATTTTTTCCAATTAAACCACATATTCCGGTTTTGTTGTTACACTTTGGAGTGTTTCCAGTGAAATACTATCAATAATAGCAGTTTGTCTTCCGGAGTTTAAATCACAGTTGACGTCACCGGTTTGGGTAGAGAAGAATCCATTTGCTGTCTTTTTTTCATGAGCCACCCGTCTGAATTGAACCAAAACTTACGTCACGTGATCTGAATGAAATGTGGTCCTGAGGCGCACCAACTTTCTTTCCGTTCTTAAAGTTACGATACCAAATGATGTTTATTAAAAAACGGCTAATCTGAGTAAAATTTGAGTGCCTGAGATAACATCGGTTGGTCACCGAGTACACCAAAAATAATCTACCAAAATCTCATTTGATCTAAGGGCGCACTGCAGCATTCTCCCACAGATTCGTTTTGTTGCTCCATCTGTGTATCATTTTCTCAGTGGGTTCACATTTATTTTATTTATTTATTTATTTATTTATTTATTTATTTATTTATTTATTTATTTATTTATTTATTTATTTTTCAATATAAGGTTCAAGGTGATGGAGACGTAAAGGAACTGCGCTCTTCTGATTGTATGCCTACATCTGTCTAAGGGCTCCCAGCAAGAACATTTACAGTGCTATTGTGAGTACTCATCAAAAATACGAAGACCAGCCGTGTTGCAGTTGTTAAACGCACTCAGCCAGCGGTGCACCGGTGTGAGGAGTGGAGTTCACAGACATTTTAAACGCTGGACTACCGTTTAGCCGAGTCCCGACCTAAAGCTGTTACCTAAACATGATGGTCGAGCTTGAGTACTGCAATGATCCCGCGGGTTATACTGGCTGGAACGTCGTTCCACAAGGTATAACAATGCCGGGAAGGCTAAAGGGGAGCAGCCAGACCCCGTACTACGAGCAATCGTTATACGAGGCGGTCTGGGGGTGAAGTCGTAACGTATTCTGCAACAGAAATGTGAAAGCAGTAAGGTGTTTCCCCAAGGCGACCAGTATGTCCATATCCAGCGAGGCAATGATGCTACCTTCTCCTGAGGAAGGACGGGTTAGAAAATTTCAACCCTAAAAACCGCACACTTCGACCGCCCAAACGTTGACTGTGACCCCCGGCGAATTATTCAATACAGCTGATGGTGATGATGATGACGATGTTCTACCGAGTAAACAGAAAGATCCTTATCAATCAACTGGAAAATGTTTGGGACCAATTGGGAAGTCATCGTTTCAGAGGGGTTTGGTAAACAATCGGTGAATTTATTGCTGGGCAACGTTTCGCTTTTGACACAAAGGCTTCGTCAGGCCAAGTGAGTAAGTAAGTAGGTTGATTGGGTTTTAAGGCAGTCGGGGAACCAATCCGTGAGATTCCTTATGACTAGTGACGTGATCAGTGCTGGGTGTTCAGTCTGATGTCCCTGTTTGTTGATTAGTGGGGATGACTAAGATTTACGATAGATTGGTTAGGGG